AATAGTAGTAGTAATAGTAGTAGTAATAGTAGTAGTAATAGCAGTAGTAATAGTAGTAGTAGTAATAGTAGTAGTAATAGTAGTAGTAATAGTAGAAGTTGTAACAGAAATAGTAGTAGTTGTATAGTAGTAGTAGAATAGTAATTATAAATTACTAGTTGTAGAAGTAATTGTGGTGGTCATGGCGGTATTGGTTTAGGTATAGTTATTGGTACTTGTAATGTAAAGGTAATAGTAGTAGTAGTAGTGGTAGTAGTAATGTCAATTGTACTAGCAGAAGTAGTGGTAATCATAGTGGTGGTGGCAATAATCATGGTGGTAACAGTGATTGTGGTGACGGTAATAGTGATAGTAGTGGTCGTAGTAATAGTAATAGTTGTAGTTGTAGTAATAATAATAGTACTGATAGAAGTACTAGTAATTATGATGCTTATGACGATGATGATGGCAATGACAATGATGATGGTGATATAGTAGTAGTAGTAATGTGGTGGGGACAGTGGTAGTAGTAGTTCTAGCAATGTTGGTATAGGTACTAATAGTAGTAGTAGTAGCAGTAGTAATATCAATAGTACTAGCACAAGTACTAGCAATTACTATGATGATGATGATGGTGGTATAGTAGTGGTTGTAGCAATGATGCTAGAGGTACTAGTAGTAATAGTAATAATAATAGTGGTAGCAGTAGTGGTGGTGTTGGGAGGTGGTTGTGGATAACAATAACAATAGTGATAATGATAATGTTAATAATAATACAAATAATAATAATAGTTATCATAACAATAGTAATAATAATAATGATAATTATAATAACAATATAAACAACAATAATAATATTGAATTATGATCATATTAATGATGATAATAATAATAGATAATCAAAATAGTAATATAAATATTCAGTACCTAAAATAGCTAATGAAAAATATATTTAAAAAAACAATCAAATATGATGATAGCAGTCCCAATGAATGATGATTAATAGCGATGAGAGAAATGATAAACGAAAATGGGAAAGAGAAAATGAAACAAAAGCTCATAAAGGAAAAGGAAAAGGAAAAAGAATTTCAATATAACATTTAACACCTTGACGCCACTGGGAAAATAACAAGAAATTGCAAAACACTCCACGCCATGTTTGGAAACATTGAAAGAGTTTACAGATATGCTCTGTATCCAATAACTGCATGATGATAAAAAAATATAGATACTACTAATAATAAAAAACAATGATAATACAGATGATGAGAAAAACAAAATTAATAATGACAGATATGACAACATTGCTGATAAACACGGATCAGTCGTCGTAATGATACAGCTAATAATACTTATAATGATTACAGATTTTCGATAACAAAAATCATGCTTAATATAATCATAATGAAAATTCCTGTAATATTTGAAATCATGACTGTATTTTCCATAATAAAAATCATAAATACAATACTAATATTAATAATTACACAAATAACTGTAGTCAACAGCATTACAGTCTCATCAACATTATTATCAAATAATTAACATCTGACCTGCAACAATACTTACAATGTGATATACAGTGACATTTTAAATTTCTATGACGCCACAATTCTCATATTTGTTCAACCTAATATGATAAGACATAAGCACCAGTTTGCACTTAAAGGTATACGTTGTTCAGACTTCAATTTGTAAAATGGTTGGCAATGGAAAAGGGATCCAGAGGGGTAGAGGGATGAAAATAGGAAAGGAGAGAGAGACAGAAAGAAATAGGAAAAAGTCAAGATGGAAAAAGAGAGAAAACAAATCTATATTTATATAAAAAAAATATATATAATGTAATGCCTGTCTTTAGGGAAAAACAAAATTAATTTAGGGAAATTCCTTCTATCCATGAAGAGAGATCTGCAGTTCCTTCAACATCTAGAACAACCTCAGGTGGAGTGTCTGGTACACACAACGTCTGTGCAGCTTCTCGTCCAGATAAGTAAGCCCCATGAACTGTTGAATAGAAGCTTGGGTGGCAGTGCTCTCCAGCAAATAGCACTGCAGGCTGCAAAAAGAATATCATTTTTAATATACATGTAAATATGACACACATAAAAAATTACAGTTTCCTGATTATGTAAAATACTTTTATAACACAAAATCTTGTGCGTTGCTTTCAATTATGAAACTGTACATGGAAAGCCCCCCAAATTACAAATCTTATGAGAGATGCCTAATCACTTTAACCCCCTGATAAAAGATGGCATGAGCTCATGACATGGAAAATATCATATATAAATATGGAAGGCACATAATGATACCATAGTCGAGTGTGGACACAACGCAGGGGATGATTGTTTTCCCCTGCAAGTCTAAAATCACCCACATGATGCAGTGAAGAGATTGAATCCTTTTCTTACTTTTGGTTATGAAAGCCAAGGGGATGGGCAAGCAATTTATACAGTGAATAATAACACCAAACTTGCTCATTCTGCTCATGCAAACAGCCAGCTCTTTAGGAACACCATAA